ACATGAATATCTTGGCACCAGCTGGTAAGCAGTCTCTAACCCAATCTCTCCCAGCTCCCACCTCCCACCCATCCCAAGTGGTACCCTGAATGCTTTTCTAAAACTCCCAAGTCTCCCCACAATCCAATGACAAAGGATTAAAGCCTGCTTTGGCTAGAGGCACCAGGATCTCCGTGGTGACTGTCCATTCTGGCCAGTGCCATGCTATCTGCCTAAGTATTGTAAATAACACTGCTCCACTCACATCTCACCTGGACCATGATGTTATCACTGGATGCTGCCTCCTGGGCCTCATTCACCCAGCGCTTGACCACGTCAAAGCTGCACTTCAGCAGGTGCTATGGGCAACAGGGCACATTAAGGACCAGGCAGGCAGAAGGCTCTCCCATCACACCTCCTGGGCTCAGCTCTCAGTTCAGCCCAGCTCTGGGTCTTCCCTCTCTATTGGCCTGGTCTTCTGACACAGTGCACAAACTCAGGACGGCTCCCACCCTCACTCTCCCCACCCTGGCAGAAGATTTCCTACCAGGCCCAAACTCCAACAACCTGTCACCCCAAGGGATGGGTCAAGGCCCCTCCTCAACCAACCCAGAGGTCCCCAGGTGCTTGTCACTGACAAGGCGGGTGGGACTCTCAGATGTGGGGATACAAAAACACTTCTCTTTTCTACTGGAAAGCAACTCATATTTTCTTCAGTTTCCCAATCCACCCCCTGCCCCTGGCCCCACAGGGCCCCAGCCACAGCTACACACCAGGGAAGACACCAGGGCGGAGCTGGAGACACTGGGCACCTTGTCCACGATAGCCTGTTTCATGTAGCGCTCAATAGCCTGCAGCATGGTGCTCTGTGGGGACAAGGGGGGGTGGGCAGGAGGAGGCCCAACTGGTCCTCAGCAGCCCTCAGGAGGGCAGGTGATGGGGTGTGGAGGAAGGAAGCAAATGTGTTTTCTGTATTCCTGCACCGCCCCCCACCCCATCTCCTGGCTCAGTGCTTTGCCCAGGAGACGAGACCACCTAAAGCGTGCAAAGGATGAGCCTGAGCCTCGATGAGAAGCGGGGAAAGAGAGGGCTGGCTTGGCGGGGCAGCAGACTCACGTCAGTGATCTGGCAGAGGGCTCGTACGGCCGGGCCCCGGTAGTTGTCTTCTTTCCCGGTCATGTCCTTTGTCAGGCTGCAGGGCAGGGGAGAAAGCCTTGTCCACACACAGTAGCTTGCCCTGCCCTGCCCAAGCCCAAATCCCCACCCAGCCCTCTCCAGCTCCTGTCACCTCATCACCTGCCTGGATCACTACACCATTGTCCTAACAAGCATTTTCTCTGTATTCTTAATCCTTCCAAGCCAAACTCCAGACAGCAGCCAAAGGAATTTTTATAAAACTCAAAACTGACCAGGTCATTCCTCTGCCTTGACTAAAACATCCCTTAGGCTTCTGACTGCCATTTCCCTCAAGTGCAAACTCCTTAACAGAGAAGTCCCCAAACTCTCTCCTCTCCCAGCCTTTGCACATGCTGTTTCCTCAGCCTGGAGCACGCCTCGCCCCTCACCTCCACCTCTGTCCTGCCATTTCTCATTCACCCCTCAGGACACCACTCCAACAGTTCTTGGAGGCCTTTCCTGATCAAATGCAAGCTGGGGGCCTTCTGGTCTGCTCTCACAGCCCATCATACTTCCTGTGATAATCCATATGATACCCGATCTTAAGGGCCGACTGCCTGGTTATTTCTCTGTAAATTTTCGGGCTGCAGAGGCCATGTCTCTCTTGTTTGCTGCTCTGTTCCCAGAAGTACACATAACGACTGGTAGACACTCAATAAATATTTTCTCAATGGACCTACAAACAAATATATAACATCCCCCTGCCCAAAAAAATGTGGCAGGAAGAAATAAGAGAACTGAGTCCCAGTTCTTAAGGGCAGAGACTATACCTCAGTCACCTCTGCACCCTGAGTCACTCAGCCTGATGCAGAAACCAACACTGGGTAAGCAAGCCTATTTGAACACTTCTATATTCTTTATGTCTGCTTTTCTTGTGTTCTCTCCGGGTACCCACTAAAGTCTTCATGAAAGTTCCAGGCTGGCTCAGTTGACTAAGAGGCATCAAGTGAAGGAAGGGTTTGTACCTGAGCAAAGGCCAGAGAATTAAAGGGGAAACAGCACACTCTGGAGGCTGTCATGCCATGGGCTGGGCAGCAGTAAGTGAATGATGAGAGAGAGAGAGAGGAAAGGACGCCTGGCAATATGTCAAACAAAGTCTCTCATCGCCAGGTACACATGAGAAAAAATGGCCTCTGTATCAATGGAACCCATCAGAGGAGCCATCCACAGACCCAAGATGCACCTGCTGGTGACGATGATGACATCCTCTGCGATGCAAGACATCTCCTTGATGGTCAAGTAGCACATGCGACGAAGGGTGGGCTGGGAAAGAAATGGGAAAAGCCCTATGACCCCTGGCTCAGCATGAGGGCGAGGGGAAGGAAAAGAAAACTCCACTCTTGGGGCTGGCCCTGTGGCATAGTGGTTAAATCCAGTGTGCTCCACTCTGGCAGCCCAGGTTTGCAAGTTCGGATCTCGGGCACGGACCTACACCACTTGTCAGTCATACTGTGGCAGCAACTCACATACAAAAGAGAGGAAGACCGGCACAGATGTTAGCTCAGTGACAATCTTCCTCAAGCCAAAAAAAAGAGGAAGACTGGCAACATATGTTAGTTCAGAGAATTCTCCTCACTAACAAAAGAAAACTCCAACCTACACAAAGGCAGTCCACACTGATAGGTGAGGTGACTTTCCCTTGGCCCTCCCACCACCCTGTCACAGCTGCCCCCTCTTGAGGAAAGCTAGGGGTGGCACACTTACATCATTGGACTGAAAGAGCTTGGTCATGGCAAAGAAGGCCTCCGTTGCTTCAGTGGTCCCTAGGTGCTCCCCCTATTGTAATCAAGAAAGAAGTCTCAGCCTGGGACAGAGGGGCCAGAAGGCCCTTCCTGCCAGATCAGTCCAGGCCAGATCTTCGGACCCTGCGGAGGGTCCATTAAAGGCAACATATCAGAGTTGGACGCTGAGGAGACCCAGAGGGGAGCCAGTGATTATAACCATACAGTGGCTGTCGAACAGCCTAATGGCTGTTTGACTTATACAACCCCCAACATGCCCCGACACCGTTTTCCCACCCCCAAGCCTCACTCTGTTACCTGGTTGATGAGGTAAAGGATCTTGGTGAGGATGTGGGCACATTTCCGAGGGTTGATGGGAGTTTCGTTAAATACACGGGCCTGAGAAGAAGCAACCAAGAATATTACCCTCCATCCCAGCTTATTTCCCTTCCATTGACTCCCTTCAAGCACACACAAGCTCTGAGAAGACTCAGAATAAATAAAGACACTTGCCTGGACAAGCTTATTGTCATAAGGAAAGAGTTTTGAGTTTTTCTCCTTAATTTATCTATTAACAACTCCTGCAATCTTCCCTAAGCATTACTTAGGAGTGTGCTGACTTATTGACTAACAGATACTAGTAAACACTTGTTAGCTAGAAAGAGAAATGAACAACAACAACAGAAGTGTAAGTACAAGGAACACTCTCCAGGAACAAAGTTTTCCTGTCTTTCTAAAAACAGGCTTCTCCTCTAGTGTTTTTTAAACCAGCACTTTGAATGTATTAGTATTCTGATCACATCAATCATGAATATTTATGATGGAAGATACAGGGGAGCAAATGACACTTGCCTCCTGGAGTACTGCACTCTTCTCAAGGTGCTGGAATGGGTTGGAGCCTCCACCTACAATCAGAGAACAGAAAACATTAAATAGAGGTTGTGACCCTGAGTTTCAGAAAGATGTCCCTATCATCTACCTACTCAAGTTGCAACTCCTCTGGAATGGCAATCAAAGCTTTACAATCTGCCTACAGATACCACTGCTGTCCCACAAGGGAGCTCCACTCTACCCAAAACCACTTATTCAGTCACCCAGGAGCCCTGCTACAGTCCTTCTGTGCCTCTCATAGCATCCTGTCTTGCATTCATTTATGCAACTGGTACTTAACTGAGTCCCTACTATGTGCAGGGACCACCATCTCCCCCACACCTGGGACTCCTTCACAGAACGTGTCACATTTGTAATTAGTTACAGGTGATTATCTGATGGATGTCCGTCTCCTCCATTATGCCTGTTACCATTCTAATATTTCCAGCCCAGGCACTGAGTGTCTCACTTGTTCTACCGCAGTATCAGAACATAGTACAGTTCCTGGCACGCAGTAAGCGATCAATACATGTTTGCTGAGAAAATGAATGAAAGAGTCACGGTTCTCAGCCACAGGACACTGGCTCCGAAAACTGCGCCCCAGTCTGGCCAACACCAACGCAGCCCCGGCGAATCCCAAGAGGTCGGACGGAGAAAGTAAAGGAACATCTGGCTCAGTTCCCTCCCTTGATAGATGGGGAAACTGAGGCCCAAAGAGGCACGTGACCCGCCCAAGGTCACCCAGCGAATCGGGGCCCGAGCTTACGAATGGGGCGTGGGGGGGAGAGCTGGAGAGCACGCTCGGGCTCTCCGAGGTCTGCCACTGACCAGTGGTGGACCTTAGGACAAGCCCCTGTCCCTCACTGGGCCTCGGCCCCGGGTCAGGACAGAAGCCCCAAAGGAGGGCTCCCACGGAGGGTGCCGAGAGCCTGCGCGGGGTTCCGGCCTCCCCCAGGCCAACGTACAGGCCTGGGCACCCTCACCCGATTCCTCGTCCTTCTTGTCGAATTTCTTCAGCATGGTGGTGCCAGCGGGGGCGCAACGCAGTAGCTCTGTACTGGACCGCGACAGCCAGCTACAGCAGTCGAGCGGCGACTCCACACAGCCCACTTCCGGCCGGCCACGTCGCCCTGCGCTTTGCGCAAGCGCACCCCGCGCCCTGCGCATGCGCACATTCCGGCCGCGCAGCCGCGTCCGGCGTTAACCCTGTCCCCGCCGGGCAGGGGCGGGGGAGGCTGGGGGCCGGGGCCGGGGCCGGGGCCGGGGCCGGGGTCTTGGGAGGAAGGGGAGCGCCCAGACTCGGCGCTGATCGGCGCCGCGGCTCCGCGCCTCGCGCTCTCCTTATCGTACAGTGTGAGGAGCAGTCGTCGCTGCCTCGCTGCGTTGTGGCGGGAGTTTAAACCGGCCTTCGGAGGTGAGGCCCGCAGCACACCGGCCTGGAGCAGACGCCCAGTTAGTTCATGTTACCTGTTGTTTGTATTGTCATTACTGTCACCTTCTCACGTGTGAGAAGCTGGCTGCTCCTCACTTTCAGTCCCCTTCCCCTGCCTGGTTTTCTTCCTAGCTCGAATCACCGCCTAACACATTATGTTTTTACTTTATTGCTTTTTACTGTCTTTATTCACTGCGGTGGATAACATTGGCATATAGCAGGTGCTCAGTAAATTCTTGGTATAATTCATATCTGTCTACGCCCTAGCACATCTGCTCCTGGTGCAAATTGTTTTGTATTTTATTAACTTCAGAGCTAACTAGAGTAAAAGATCAGCGTAGAAACTTCAGTGTTGCTGTTTAAGGGCTTTGGGTGTTTATGGAGCGCCGTAGTAGACCCGCCGCCTAGCGCTGGGGAGCGAAGGGACAGGAAGGGGAAAGAGAAACATCACGCGGGGTTTATCTTCCTAGGGACCTACGCGGGACACTTCGAGGCCAAGGTAAGGACGGTGTGTGCAGACTTGCCAAATTGCATCGGCTACGGCCAAGCCGAGTCAGGACGGCCCAGCGCTGCCACGCGTGGCACCAGCTTGCCTGGGGAGGGGACAGCCCGAAGCCTAGCGGGGAGGAGAAGGAGCCCTGGTGAGCCGGAGGTGGAGAGGAGCGGCAGGAGGCTGGGGCAGAGGCTGGCGAGTGAAGAAGGAGGGGCTGACAGCAAAGTGAGAGGAGAGGTGACGGCGGAGGGGCCAGCCTTTAGCGTCAGGCTTTGCAGAGGCTGAGTCTGGTGGCTGGGGGGAAGTAGGGAGGGGGAGGGAGATCTTGCGCCAAGGTGAAATCGTCGAGAGCCAGAAAGATGGTCAAAATCTTTACCGGAAACCCCACCCCTTATCTGGAGGAAATCAGCCAAAAGAAGAAAGTAAAATTGCCCACTGCAGCAGTTTGCTGCAAGATAACTGACAACACTTGAAATGCCCAGCAATAAGGAGATGATTAAGGGAATTATGGCACATCCATTGGATGAAATATTCCACACCCTTTATAAAGGGATAAATGAATTACTGACGACTTGTGAGGCGGTATGCAAGCTTCTTATAACAAATGAGACATTAAACAAGAAAAGCAGAGTGTAGAAGTACTCATAATTGAGATGAAATAAGTATGTCTCATGGTTAAAAACCAGAAGAGAACCCCAGAGACTTGAATTGTTGTGCTAAGATGATGAAATACAGATGAATTGTGTTGGGTTAATAACCTGTTATGATGTTAATTCTATAAAACTCTATACCAAGGACAATTTTGACAATACCTTGCTAAGAATGAGAATTGTGGGTTGTGACTCCAGGTCTAAGTATGGGCTTATCTATATAATTGTAGGGCTTTTATTATTTTTTAAATGTAATATATATTCTTCATGATAATCACTAAGTCCTTTTTAAAAACACAGAACACTGAAAGTTCAGGAAAAATAAGGGATATCTGAACACAATTGGGAGGTTTTACCAAGATCCATATCCTGGTTGTGATAGTATTTATTAATTTTACAAGTATTTAAAGATTGAGGGGCCGGCCCTGTGGCCAAGTGGTTAAGTTTGCACACTCTGCTTCAGCAGCCAAGGGTTTCGCATGTTTGGAACCTGGGCGCAGACATGGCACCGCTCATCAGGCCATGCTGAGGTGGCATCCCACATAGCAGAGCTAGAAGGACCTACAGCTAGAATATACAACTATGTACTGGGGGGCTTTGGGGAGAAGAAGAAATAAATAAAATAAAAGATTGGCAACAGATGTTAGCTCAGGTGCTAATCTTTAAAAAAAAAGTTGAAATATAATCCGCATACCATAAAATTCACCCCTTTAAAGTATACAATTCAGTGGTTCTTAGTATATTCAAAAAGTTGTGTACCCTTTATCGCTAATTCCAGAACATTTTCGTCACCCCCCAAAAGAAACCCATATCCATTAGCAATCATTCTCCTTTCCTTACTCCCCTCCCTGATGCCCCCAAAACTGAATCTACTTTCTGTCTCTATGGATCTGCCTATTCTGGATTTTTCGTATAAATGGAATCATACAGTATGTGGCCTATTGTGTGTCTGGCTTCTTTCACTTAGCATGATGTTTTCAAGGTCTGTCCATGTTGTAGCATGAATCAGTATTTCATTCCTTTTTATTGCTGAATAATATTCCATTTTATGGATGCACCACATTTTGTTTATTGTTTATCCATTCATCTGTTGAGGGACATTTGGATTCCCACTTTTGGCTCCTGTGAACAATGCTGCTATGAACATTCGTGTACAGGTTTTTGTGTAAGCTGTTTTCATTTCTCTTGGGCATATACCTAGGAGTAAAAATGCTGGGTCATATGATAACTATATTTAACTTTTGAGAAACTGCATCTGCACCACTTTACATTCCTACCAGCAATAAGGGTTCCAATTTCTCCACGTCCTCGCTCACACTTGTCATTGTCTTTTTGGTTGTAGCCATGCTACTGGGTGTGATGTAGTATGTCATTGTGGTTTTAATTCGCATTTCCCTGATGGTTAAAGATGTCGAGCATCTTTTCAGGTGCTTACTGGCCATTTGTGTATCTTTGAAGAAGTGTCTATTCACATCCTTTGCTCATTTTAAAATTGGGTTATTTATCTTTTTACCATAGAGTTGTAAGATTTCTTTATGTATTCTGGATGCTAGACCCTTATCAGATATATGATTTGAAAATATTCTCTCCCCTTCTGTGGGTTGTCTTTTCACTTTCTTTATAGTGCCCTTTGAAGCACAGGAGTTTTTTATTTTGATGAGGTCCAATTTATTTATTTTTCTTTGTTGCTGGTGCTTTTGGTGTTGTGTAAGAAATCATTGCTTAAGCCAAGGTCATGAAGATTTATCTCTATATTTTTTCCTAAGAGATTTATAGTTTTACCTCTTACACTTAGGTCTTCGGCCTGTTTTGAGTTGGTTTTGTACGTGGTATGAGGTAGGGGTCCAGCTTCATTCTTTTGCTTGTGGATATCCTGTTGTCCCAGCACCATTTGTAGAAAAGACTATTCTTTCCCCTATTAAATTGTGTCATCACCTTTGTCAAAAATCAAGTGACCATAATGTTTGGGTTTATTTCTGGACTCTCAATTATATTCCATGAATCTATATACCATAGTTTTGCAAGATGTTACCATTGGGGGAAACTGGGTAAAGGGTACAGCATCTCTCTGTATTATTTCTTACAACTGCTCATGAGTCTACAATTATCTCAAAATTTTAATTTAAAAAAAGCAGAAATTATTTTTATGGTACCTTCTCACCATCACTACTACCATCGCCGCCCTCACCCCTCAACTAAAAGAGCTGTTCTATTCTAAGCATTTTTCATCTGAAGTACCCACTCTTGCCCTCCAGGTGGCACCAAGTCTTTTACCTCTAGTTTTTCAGAAGCCAGAGCAGGAAGAGAGTCTGCTGGGGCCTCTTGCCAAGAGCAGGGCCCCTTGCCAGGTTCTGGCTGTCCGCCAGAATGACTCAGGGCAGTTTCAGAGTCCTGGGCCTGCCCTGAGGGTCCCCTCCATATAACGGAGACTCAGGACTGCCTTTGCTTTAGGGGCAGCTTTGAGCCTCGTAAAATGAGTTCTCCAGGCACAGAAGCAGTCCTCTATTTCTTTGCTCACATCTACCTTTGAAAGCATTCATTCATTCCTGCAGCACTTACTGAGCACTATTACATAATTCTCATGAACATGTTACACTATTACATAATTACATATTTCTATTACATAATTCTTATGAACATAGCAAATACCTGTACTCTATGCATGTAAGCTATATTATTAATAAGAATGAGGCTTTTTTAGGATCAGATGATGAATATTGCCCCCCCCACCTTTGCAAACTGTAAAGGGCTACACTGTAATAAGGTATGATCATTATTGGGGCAGGGAGGTCACAATAAAAGTGCTGGCATTTGTCGCGTACTCACCAGGAGATGGACACAATGTATTTTAACCTTAACCCACCCAAAGAAAGTTCAAAGTAAACATCACTGTGCTTTTACAGTCATGAAAACTGAATCTCAGAGAAGTTACATACGTTGTCAAAGGACACACGGCTTCTGAATGACAGAGCTGGCATTCAAAACTAGGTTTCCAAGTTTGCAAAGGCCTCTGCTTCTCCTGAACCCCAAGCCATTAACTGAAATGAAATCTTGGGGTAAAGCCACCTTCAGGAAGGTTTGAGCTGGAGCACACGGTGGTTAGAAGATGACCTAGGGAATTGGGTCACCCCCTAAATATGCTTTCTTTACGCCTTTTCTTCTGAACATCATAACGCAATTCTACTTGTAAATGATTCCTGAATTCAGCACGTCGTTTCCCAGGTATTTTAATATATTTCTTTTTTTTTCCGATTAGAAAAACAAAAGCATTTATTTAGGGGGAGGGACCTTTTGAACAATACAGCAAAGTAAAAAGAAAAGGAGAAAATCAGCCATTCTTTTTTTTAATTACATTTTCATTTACAGTTGATGCATACAAAAGGATACATGTGATGCACATGTAAATTTTAGGGCATGAGAATGCAATGACACCCATGAACTCACCTCCCGAATGCAGACCTAGAACATTACCAGATACAGAGGCCCCCTGTATTATTATGCCCTGCCCAACCCCAGAGGTAACTTTTAGTTTATTGAAACTTGTGAAAAAAAATCAAGTATGTATGTATGCTTAAACAATGGACTGTATAGTTTTTGCTTGTTTTTGAGCTTTATAAAAATGGTGTCACAGGTAGCGTTCAAGGAATTTCTGTACTCAGCATTATCTAAGGTTCATTTTGAGGTTATGTAGCTGTAGTTCATCCTTTTCACTACTGCATAATATTCCATTGCGAATTACCACAATATATTTACCTGTTTTCTTCTTGTTGGGCATCTAAGTTGTTTCCAGTTTTTTTATTACAAAAAAATGCTGCTATGAACATTCTTGTGCCTGTCTT